CCCTCCCCGCTCGCGGGGCAGGAAGAGGCGGTGGCCACAAAGCGAAAGAAAATTCGCTTTGTAGCCTTCGCGTCCCTTCCTCCCTCCCAGCTTTGTAAATCCAAAATTCCCCGAAGGACGTGAGGTGGGGAAGGGGGGAGGAGAGCCTCCAAGGGTCCCACACGGAGGGCAGGAGGGAGCACAACCCTTTGCAGCCAGCAGAGAATCTCGCTGGAAGAGCACCCTTTGCCTTGCCTGGGTGCTGCCACCCACTCGCCCTCAGCAGGAGGGATGGAGAGGAGCCGCCCTACCCTCCTTGCGGCTCCCTGATCCCTTCCCTGCGGCGGGGCGGGTAAGGTAGGCTGCCCACAGGTGGCCTGCATGACCCCACGGGTGGGACTGAGCCTCCCGTCCCCTTCCATCTTACGTGCTCCAACCGGGTCTTTCCCCCACATCCCACCTAGATGGAGACGGTGCCACCGCCCCCAAGGAGACGGGACCCCAGCCGGGTACACCCTCGTGCTCCCCTCCGTCCCACCCTCCCGCGATGGAAGATGACTTCCAGTTCGTCCTTTGCGAGGGCTGCCGGCAGGAATCGCCCAACCTCAAGCTCCTCACCTGCCTCCACACCTTGTGCCTCGATTGCCTGAGCGAGAACAAGCCCATCAGGCAGTGCCCCGTGTGCCGGACGGCCATCCCGCAGGCCAGCGGCATCCCCGACATGGACAACCTGCTCTTCACCAACCTGCAGGCCAAGCTCAGCATCTACAAGAAGATCAGAGACAGCGATGGCCCGAATTGCAGCCGGTGCCGGGGGGAATCGGCAACAGTGTGGTGCTCTGAGTGTGAGGAGTTCCTCTGTGCCAAGTGCTTTGAGGACCACCAGTGGTTCTTCAAGAAGAGGAGCCACGAAGCCAGGAAGGTGGAGGAGCTTCGTGCCGAGTCAGCCCATCAGTTCCTGGAAGACACCAGAAAGTCCTGCAACCTCTTCTGCTCCCGTCCCGGTCACGCCGACCAGGGCCACATCTCCAGGTGAGAGCGGTGCCTTGTCCCCAGATCCCATCCTGCGCCAAGGGCTTTGGGGCTGCTGCTCTGGGACCAGCTCTGCCGAGAGAGCAGAGCCGAGGGGATTTCGTCACCTGCCTTTGGAGAGGGATCGCTGCAACCCCAGCGAGACCCCAGGCAGGAGCAGGGTGCGGTATGGGCCTGGCAGGTCCTCAGGAGAAGGGAGGGGAGCAAAGGTGGGTTGAACACCCAGCTTTGCACCCACATCTGCAGCCGGTGATGCGAGGCAAAGCCCTTTCCCACCCCGTGCCTCAGTCTCCCCTCTCATTAAGCTCCTCAGCTGTCACTCAGGGAGGGGGAAACATACCCAGCACAGTAGAAATGCTTTTCTCCCCACCGCTCACCTACCAGCTTTGAATGATGCTCCTGGGTTGTTGTTTTTTTTCCTAGCATCTACTGCAAGAGGTGCGAGAAGGCGCTGTGCTGCTCGTGCGCGCTGCTGGACAGCCAGCACGCCCCGTTCTGCGACATCCGCAGCGAGACCCAGCGCAGGCAGGAGGAGCTGGGCACCATGAACCAGGAGCTGAAGCAGAAGAGAAGCGGCTTTGAGGCCACCTACGCGGCGCTGCAGGATGAGGCCGCCCGGCTGGAGGAGGCGCAGCGGGAGATGCGGGAGCTGATCGGGCAGCGCGTGGAGCAGCTGGTGCGGCTGATCCGGCAGGAGGAAGAGGAGCTGCTGGGGCTGGTGGAAGCGTGGCAGGAGCAGGGCCGGCGGGAGCTGGCGAGGGAGCTGCAGCACGTGGAAGGGGTGCTGCGGCGGATGGAGGCGGGCGAGCGGCTGGTGGAGAAGATGAGGCTCTACGCCACGGAGCAGGAGGTGATGGACATGCAGCCCTTCATCAAGGACTCGCTGGACGAGCTGCAGCGGCTGCAGCCGCCGGCAGCTGGGGACCGAGCGCAGTCTGGGGACTTGGCCAAGTGCAGAGCCAGGCTGCAGGCGCTGGTGGAGCGTGTCATGGGGCACCCAGGTGAGGACTCGCTGTGGGGATGGATCCAGCCACCCCGCAGGCAGCGGGGACTTGGGCCAGCTCAGAAAGCCATCACCCAGCACTGGGTCCTGCAGGGTTCAGAACCACCTCCCTGCAGCAAAAGGAGCCCAGATTCACTCTTGTAGAGTGCTTATTTCCACTGGGGCCAAGATTCGCTCCTTTCATTATATGACCAGAGACCCTTTTTGGTCTCCTGCCAGTCTGACAGGCTCTGGTGATGCTGATTTCTGGGTCCCCAGAGGCTCCTAAACCCCTCGGGCCATCCCAAACCAAAGGCCTGGGAAAGGGAAAGGAGACCAGAGCTGCCCCTTCCTTGCTGCAGCTGCCGGGTAGGTTTTTCCCAGCTCAGCTGCTGCCAGGGCCGGGTGGGAGCTCCAGAGGCTCCGACTTGGGATTGCATCCCTGCTCTCTCTATTGCAGGTACTAATTCCCAAGCTGCCCCCCTGGTCGATGTGGCCCTGGAGAAAAACCTGGTGAGATGTCCATGTTTCATCCCGGTGCGCTACCATGGATCCCCCTTCCTCTGACCTTTGCAAGCCTTTCCTAAGGGTCTACCTTCCCCTCCCCAGCCCATCACTCCAATTTCTTCCTCAACAACAAACCCTCAGGGGTGTTTCTCCCTGGACAGAGAAGAACCTGCTTGGTAGCCATCTACAAACAGGCATGCTCCTACCCCATTCCACTATTCCGCTCCTGCTGCTTCATCCCTCATTTTCAGCAGGGAAAACCGTAGCCTCCCCCAGCTGTAGCACTGCCAAACACTCGCAGCTCAGGCACAAGCCTTAAGCCAAGCCGGAGGGCTGGGCTGTGCCTCAGTTTCCCCCCTGCTGAGAATGTTTCTGCCCCCCCCTCAAGGCCAGTCCAGCCCTGCAGAGGGGTTGGTGGTCTTGAGGTTCACCCTAACGCTGCTCTGTGCTCTCTCCGCAGCAAGGGGAGCCGGTCCAGCCCAAGAGCCAGACCATCTTGCCCACCTTCACCATCAACCTTGAGGAGATGCAGATGAGCCCGGTAAGAACCTCCCCGGACAGGCAGGAGCCTTTGGGGACCAGGAGATGCCACCCCAGCACCTTACATCCCCTGTGCTCTCCTCTCTCCAGGCTCTCTCCATCAGCACGTGGCCTAAGCGGATGTCGCGCTGCGTGGAAACAGGCAGCCAGATCTCACCCAAGGTACTGAAGCTGGAGTATGACAACATGCCGGTCCCCATCAATCCCAGTTCAAACCAGTGGGATGGCAGAATGGGACCCAGAGCCTCCACGCCGAGCCAGAACTGCAGCAGCATCCCTGCCACCAGCAGCCACATTGATGATGCAGGTGGGGACCGGGGACATGGCCCTCCTCATTACCCCATCTCTTCCCTCCTCTTATGGGGGTCTCCCATCTTTCCTGGGCTCTGTGCACCCCCATGCACTCAGACCCTTGCCCAACCTCCCCTGGGTCAGAGTAGCTGGTTCCCAGGGGGTAAATAGGAGAGCAATGCTCAGGGGTGGACACGGGTGCTCCATCCAGCTCCATGTCCTGCCTCCAAGGTAGCCAAAAACCAGGCCTAGGGAAGAGCATAGCAGCAGGGTAAGTGTGCAGAGACTCCTCTGCCTTCTGCTCCAGGAGCTCTGGATTTTCCTGGAGTAAAAAAAAAAATCACTACAATTTTTAGCAAAACACATTTTCTTCCCCAAGCTCACCCAGCCCTGCTGCAGCATCTCGCAGCGAGGGGGCCAGGGCTCAGCCCTGCAAACAGGTGGGAGGATGAAATGCATCTTCTGGAGAGGCTGGTACATGGGGTGAACCAGCAGTGGAGAGGTTGCCCCCACCTTGGGGTGGATCCGAGAGCACCCAAGGGCTGGGTGGTTCATGGTCTTGGCAGAAGCGTTTGTCCTTTGCTGCAAAAATCGGGAGGTAAGATCAGTCCTCCCATGGGAAAAACGGTGTGATCCGAAATCACAGTCTTGAAGCTTGAGCATCCTCCTGTTCCTTCCGCAGAAGACACAAGCATCATCATCTCCAGCTCAGAGGACAGCTCAGAAGACACGGTGGTGAGTGTAACGGCAGACTTCACTCCTTGCTGAGCCACGCTGCAGGCAGAAGAGGCAGCTGTACCCCATCGTCTCTGGGGTGCCTTTCCCTTTCCCCCAGCCTCGCTCAGACTTGAGCCTTCTCCCTTCCCACCATCAACCAGAAACTTGCTTGCATCTTTCTCTTCCCCTTTGGTTGCTCCCAGGTGGCAGGGTATCTGGGCTATCCCAAATCTAGTCCCCATGGGCTAAGACCTTTGCTGGTATCTCCTGGTATTCTAGAGCAGCCAGGGTCCTCTCCTGCAGGCAGCAAACCCTACCTAAATCAAGCAAATCAGCTCTGAGGTGGGATTCCATACCACCTGTCCTCCAAGACAACCCTTTTGAGTTGGTCCTTATGGCCTCTTCCTTTCCACCTCACTGGAAAGGTTGTTCTCAGCTTAAAAAAAAAAAAAAAAATCAATTTTCATATAAAAATCAAGTTTGCGAGTTGAATGTCGCATCCCTGCTCGCAAAGTTCATCAGTCCTGTGTCTACACAGGCTGAAAAGCTCCCAGGAGCCACCAGAGCAGGTAGGGACCATCTGAGCATCCCCAAAGTGACATTTCCAAGCTCCCCATGGTGACATTTCACAGCACCGATGTTGGTGAGCTGCAACCAAACGGCCCTGGCCGAGGTGGTTAGATGAACCAAGAGCATGGGATCCCTGCTGAGATGCCCCATCACCATCATGAGCAGGGGATCCCTTTGGAAATGGAGGTGAGCATGGCTGATTAGGGATGGGGGGGGGATTTTCCAACACTGGCTTAATGAGGGGTTAACAGCCCCATTTTAATTTTTTTTTGTATAAACTAATGCAGAAGCTCTTCTTACTCTTCAATAAAGCTGTTCCCAGATTAAATCCCAGCCCGCTGCTGGCTTCTTTTATTTTTGGCTTTGCTGTTTTTCCTTGCTCTCCTGCTTCATCTCTAAAAAGGGGGGGGGGGAGGGGAAGAAGAATTGTGGGGCTAAAACCCTGTCCCCACTACCTGCTAGTGCCAAAAAATCCCAAGGCTGCTGCTTTTGGGGGTGTTAGCTACTTGCTGTGAGAAATCCCTGTATGACTCAGGTGTCCTTTGGTACGACGTGGATTTAAGGGTGTAGCAAAGGCACAGGCTGAAAAAAGGGAGGTCCCAGGGGTATAAACATCTTGGCAATGGTCTGGTGCTGGGCACTAGACAAGTGCAACCTTGAAAGCCGGGAAAAATTGGTTTAAAGCCTGGAAAAGTGGTGGGGGGAATAGCAGCTAAGTGAGAAAAAAGGCTGAGCAATGGGATGAGGCAGCAGGAAGCATCCCAGGGAAGGTGCAGCTTTCAGGGGGTGGAGGGCAAGGGCTGAGGACCTGCCTAGAGGCTCAGACATCTAAAAGGAGATCTTGGGGCTGGGAAGCAACCTTTGTGGGGTGACCTGGGGACTGTCATGCTCTGCATGACAGCTGAAGCCGCAAGAGCATCGCCAGAGCCCAGCTCTGCCTGGATCCATCACCCACAGCCACTGCGGTGCTATGAGCCCGTGTCTCTGCATGGGTGATTTTCCTCCCCCCAAATCCTCCACATTTTCCCTTTCTGCTTAACCCTTCAATAAAACCTTTTTTGCATAGAAATTCAATTTGCTCGTTGCTGGTTTGGGTAACAAGAGCATCTGCGATTACATTTTGTCACCGAGTTTGGTTCATCTAACTCCCTTCAGGCCAGCTGGATCATTCCAGGCACAGCCCGGCAAGGGGGACATGGGGCACTGCCACCACCGGTACCATCCTTCTCCTGTCCCTTCCCAGACAGAGGAACCCCATATGCCCTTCAAACACTTAATTTTAACCTGGCATTTAAGCAACCCCACGTCCCCTGAGCTGGGGAGCGCTTGGTTTTGCTCACATGCCTGCAGACATCGGTCCAGCCGCATTTCCACCACTCCTGGGCTGCAGGTGAAGATGCAGAGAGGTGGCACAGAGGGAGATGGATGCCCCATCGCTGCAGGGTGCCCAGGCCAGCGGTGCAGGATTGTCCCTGGGGGAAAGAGGGAGGGAAACCAAGGTTGGAGCTTCTTGAATGTATCGCTGTCCTACTCTTCCCATAGGGAGATATTGGCTATGGGTGTTCATCCCTGCTGAGGCTGGGCAGGGGATGGTTGGTGTGGCTGCTTTTACACCCTGTTGGGAAGCACCGCTGTAAGTTTTGGATCTGTTGAGCCTGGAGAGGCACCGAACCTCCTCCTGGCCCAATTCAGTCCCCTTTTCCTCTAGACACCAACCAGATCTTTAAGTCTAGTGGTATCTCACACGGTGAGGTTGCTCAGCCACATTTATGTCCCTGCATGTGCTGCATCCACGAGACGCGCAGAAAGGGACAGCAAGACCCCAGACCTGCGTGTTGTGTCCTCTGGCCTGGATCCCACCTCCTGCTTAGGATGAGCTGCATTCAGGGCTCTGCTCTTGCTCACTTGGCCCAGACCCTGGTTTTGGGCTCTTAACAGAGCTCCCCATGGCCAGCCCACTCCTGAGACACAACACACACCCAACCCACCCCTAGCAGTGCCAGGACATCGGACTCTGGGGGTTTCATGGCATTGCACACAACCAGGTCCTTGCCCATGGCCAACTGTGGACCCAAGGGTGCTCCTCATGCCTTCCCAGCCAGGTCCAAGCAGGCAGACGGGACTTGCCCCCTTCTCCAATCTCTTGCAGGCTTCCAGCAAGCCCAAGGACAGCAAGAAGCCCTCCAGCCCCACGTGGTCCGGGAGCGGCACCTCACCCCACCTCAGCACTGGCCCCACCAGCCCCTGGGACGACGGGTTGGAGCTGAGCACCTTGGTGTTCCTCAGCTTGAAGGTTGACCAGAAAAGTGAGCATTGCCTTTCCCGGGCATAGGGAGGCTGGGGGGGCAGAGAGGGGCACCCCAAGTACTTACTCCAGCCCTGTCCTTTCCCCTCCGCAGCCCAGCTCATCACAGAGGTGGCAGCAGTAAACAGAGAGCACACCTTCAAGACGCTGATTCAGACACCCGAGTCGGTGCTGGCGCTGCTCTCCCAGGGCGTCCCCATCGAGGTGGGGATGCAGCACCTCCTCTGGTACCTCTCCCCGCTCCCCAGGCCCATCCTCATCGTCTATAACTTCTGGGCACTGGAGCTGCCCGCTCTCTTTAAAGCCCTGGATGCCACGGGCAGGAAAGTGGACTTCTGCCGTGTTGTGGGTGGTTATGTGGATATGTTGTCCTTGATCAAAGAAAAGCTGCCCAAGGCCCCTTCTTACAAGCTGAAGAACCTGCTGAGAAGGCACCTCCAGCAGCAGTTCAATGAGGGCAGCGCGCTGGCCACGGCCAAGGCCTTGCAGGAGCTTTGGGGAGCCCTGGAGCTCCCTGCCCGTGCCGATGCGGGGATGATGCTCACCCACTGCAACCTGCAGAGCTACACGATCCTGCGGCCCCTGGTACAGGAGAAACTGCTCACCAGGAGGGCAGCCAAGATCCTGGCCCGGCGCAGCCTCATCCTCTGGGAGCTGGAAGAGGCGTGAGCACGACCGTGGGGTGAGTCAAGTTGGCCAGGTCTCAGGTTAACCGTGCCAGGGATGCCCACAGTGGCATCAAACAGGACTCGCGGACCCTCTCTGCTCCTAGCATGGGGTTTAAAAGGCTCAGGACCCTGGGTCAGCTCTAGGGGGAAGAAACCACCCAATGGAATTAATATCTTCATTAAATAAATTACACAACGTAATTTATTGGGGCGTCTCCACCCCTACTTTTCCCAACCAGGTGGGAGGCAAGATACTCGGAGCCCTGTTCGCCCTGCCCGAGCAGCACCAGGCACCTTGACCCCCCCCCTCCTCAAACCCCCGCAGCCCGACACCCCACCTCCCAACCCCCCCGGTGCCAGGCTGGAGGTTGCCAGAGGTGTCGCCAGCCGGGGCTGCGTGTGACAAGGCAGTGAGGGACACACACCACCAGGTGTCCTCTTTGTACAACCGCACACGGCCGGGAGGGTAAGGGCTGGCTCCCCTGCTTGTGCGCACTCACCCGCATCCCTAGAGCCCACCGGTGGTCCCTCCTTGTACCTGGGAGGTACTGCGACCATCACCGGGGTGTCTGGTCTGCTCCATTGAGCACAGAGGCAGAGGGCTGGGGGAATGTAGAGGTCCTCTGGGTGGCCGGAGGTGGGTGAAGATGGGCAGGAATGGGATGTGGTGAAGGTCTCCTCTCCGAGAGGGTGTGCTGGGAGCTGCCAGGCTTGGAAAATCAGGGGGTGACAGGGAGGAAGTGTAACCCCCACGAATCTTCTGGGACCCCCCCAAGAACAAGCAGCGGCCCAGACACAGCTTGAAGTATTGGAGCTGTGTCTTGGCCAGCAAGATGGGGGTGGGCAAGAGGGCTGCCTTCCCCCGGGCAGGGAAGAATGAGGACAGATCCAGCACCGTACAGCAGTTTACAGGGAGCAATCCCAAAGGAGCCCCCACAACCACACAGAGGCACACAGGGCTTGTCACCAAATTCAGGCAATGCCACCTCACCCGGGGGATTCTCTGGTGTCTGATACAGGGTTGTGTGCAGGGGAGCAGCCTCTACAAGGGGCACAGCCGGAGGAGAGCAGACCCCATCTGTCTGCTGTCACCGGCCTCATCAAAGTTTTGTAAAACAATAGCGAAGTCAATGGGCTGCGGCAGCCAGATTAGCTGTTTCTGTGCCCTGAGCTGCCATAAATCTCATTCATCTGGCTAGAAAAGGGTGAGCAGAGCAGCAGCCAACAAGCCCCAGCCCTGGAAAAAGGGGCTGCAGCTAGGGTACCCCAGCGGGGTGAGGGCTCCCCAAAAGGTCCTACCAGCTTCCACCTCCAACAGGCAGCTTCTACACACCCGCAGGCTGGTACAGCCCTGCTTGGACCTCCCTTCCACCCACAGCCACCCCATGAAAATCCCCCTCCAAGCCAGAGGTATACGGGAGAATTGGAGTCTCTCTGGGTTTTTTTTAAGAGCAATAAATAACTTCACTGAATTAAGCGAATCTCCTGAAATGATATATAATATGCTGCTTGCTTGATTGGCTGTTATTAATAATGCATTGCTCAATCTAAACCATTCATAAAACGACTCCCTGCTAGCCCCGAGCAAAGTGCTTTGGGAATCGAGGGGGGGCAAAAAGGAGCAGCATAAATCCTTTCTGTTTATGAAAATGGATTTCTTCCCCCAACAATCATGCAAAACTAATTAGAGCCAAAGGGCTGGTTCCTCTGACTTCGATTACACCCTGCGAGATTGCTCAGGTTGGCTGGCCAGGGTGGGTGGAAGCCCAAAGCAGAGGAGGATTTGCCCCAGTAAGCCCAAGAAAGGTTACCTGGATTCTATTTCTAAGAAAAACATCAGCCTGCTAACTCCCAAACAGGTTTACATTCCATGGACCATCAAGAGCAAGGACTGGGTGGTCAGGACTCTTAAATAACTGGAAAAGCGGTGAGGCAAAGCTGAGGGAAGCCTTACCTCTATGGAAGGAGAAGCCACATTGCCTCTGGCAAGCCAGGATGCTCCCAGAGTGGTCACTCATGTACTCACCTGATCTTAAAGGAGCTGGCTTGGGGCTAGAAGCTAGAGAAGCCAGGAGAACCCACAGTAGGGGCTTGGCCCTCTCCTCCTTAAGTAGACAATGCCCCTGACCAGCATGGTGAGGAGGGCTCCTCCTTCAGACACCAGTTGCAGATTAATGGTGTAAATCAGAAAACCCTCATTGACCACAGTGGTGGTCCAGTGATTCCTCTAGCTGGGACGCTGCCCTCTTTTATACCAGTGGGAGAAGTGTCCCCACAGCTGCGAAGGTCAACACCAGCTGGACCCCAGCCCAGCTTCTACTCATCACATGTTTAGGAGCATGTTGAAAGTTAGGTTGCCTGGGTCTGAGGCAGGTGTGGTGTGAGAAGGAGAGGTTGGCAGCCCCAGAGACTTCTCTTCCATCCATCCACCCACCCATCTACCCATCCATCCATCCATCCATCCATCCACCCACCCACCCATCCATCTATCTGCCCATCTATCTATTCATCCATCCATCCTTGCATCTATCCACCCATTTTTCCATCCATCTACCCATCCATCCACCCACCCATCTATCCATGCATCTACCCACCCATTTTTTCCATCCACTCATTTTTTTCCATCCATCCATCCATCCATGCATGCATGCATCCATCCATCCATCCATCCTCCACCATCCTGTCTTGGAGCTCTCATCTGAGGGGATTGAAGACCCCCCACAGACCACAGTTGTTACTCCCTGTGCTCAGCCCATGGGAAACTGAGGCACAAGTGGTGACACAAACCCCACAAGTCATGTCCACTGGGGAGGAGTGAACGGGGAGGTGGATGGATGGCATAACCTATCCCATGCCGCTTCATGCTACGATGCCCTCCCAAGTGTCTAGGTTAGGGTCTGGCCCTCAGGGGTACAAGGAGGGATGTGTTATCCATCCCGGCACACGTGTCTCATGCCCTGACCCATTTCTAGCACAACACGCTGCCTCCAATGCTCCTGAAATGCTGCCACTGTATCTAGGACACTTGGGTTTCTTTCTCTTGCATGATGAATGAAGGCATCTTGGGAAGAACTCAGCATAGTGTGGTGGATAGCAGCCAAGCCAGAAAACAAGCGTCCTCTCCACATTGGCCACGTCCTTGTGGCATTTTAATCTACTTCCATGCTCCTCAAAGCAAGTTTGCAGTCCCTGTGTCTTCCATCTGAGCTCTGTAGCCCAAGTCCCAGCCATGGGTCAACACCAGCAAGGGCTGACCCATGGTTCTGCAGCCCCACGGCAGCATGGGGAGCCTGGGATGTGCGATAACCCGATACGCAGCAGCAAGGGCTGAGCAGCGTGGGACACGCTGGGACATGCTGAGCCCCCAGGGTGCTGCCCCGTTGACTGCAGGACTCCCTGCTGTGGGGCTTGGGAGAGGCTGACAGCCTGTGGGTGTTCAGAGAGTGAGCAAAATGGGGGAAAAGAATGGCTACAAACCACAACTCCAAATGTCTGATGCCTTAATTCCCTGAGCAGCAAATTGCTAGTGCTTGTAGGAGAGTCATGGCGAGGGTGAGGGCATGCTTGGGTGATGAGCCAGGCGTGGGGATGGGAAGGGAGTGAGTCACAGCTCAGCCCTGAAGATGCTGAGAGCACGATGGTTGTTCAAACTCCGCTCGGTTCAAACTCTGCTCCAGCAGGGAGGGAGACATGAAAGTGCTGCCCCAGATTTGAAGCAATGCCTCCCTCCTGCTTGACCCCTCTGCAGACCCTTGTAGATCCCCGAAGTGAGGTGGCCTTGTCCATCTGCTCGGGACAGTCCCCTGGACCATGCCCAGGGCTTTTCTGAGGGATATCAATTGGGTTGGGCCAAATCTGTGCTGGGGAGCATGGTGCCAGCCACAGTGCAGGTGACCACGGTGCAACACACGGACAGTGTTGGTTCACTTGCATGGAAACAAGGCGGGTTTGGTGGCCGCACATCATCCAAACACCTCGCCCACCCCATGGGTGTCAGCCACCCGCCAGCCCTCAGATTGCAGGGCTGAAGGGAAACTGAGGCACGTCTGAAGCTGACCCCTTTGGCTGAGGTTGTCCTGGGCACCAGGCTGGGGGGCTTTGGACGTGGCTCCTGGGAGGGCAGAGGTACCTGGAGCCGGCATCGAGGGTCAGACCCGGCATTTTGCCGTCAAGCAGCTTCCCTTCTCCGCCCCTCCAGCCATCACACACACACACACTCCCCCCCCTCCCCGCTCCCGCTCCCGCTCCTCGTCCTTGGGAGAACGCGCCCATCCCCGTGGCCTCGGGGCGGGGGATGCGGAGCCGGGGTCCCCCAGAGGGGGAAGTGACCGGGCTTTTACTCTGTCTCCGAGCAAGCAAGGAGTTCGGCCAGACACACTCCCCGCCCCCGCCAAGACCCCCGGGGCTCCCTACCCCCGGACCCCCCCCCGGACATACCCAGCCCCCGCGAGGGGGGTGTAGCCGCAGGGCCGGCTCTAGGCAGCTGGCTGTCGCGACAGAGCCGAGTCGGGGACACCGGGGAGGACCTGGCTGACCCATCCGATCCCCGGCCCCCCTCCCCCGGCAGAGCTCCCGGGCGCAGCCGCCGATGGGGAGGAGATGGAGGGATGCGGGGGGGCGGGGGGAAGCCGAAATCGATCCCGCTCATAAAATCAAAGATTTCTCGGGTTTCTCATGGCAGGGGGGGGCGGAGAGGAGAGGGGCAGGGCCGGGGGAGAACAGACCCCCACGTCGAGGCGAAACCGCGGAGCGGAGAGGGGGGCTCCCCGTTCCCGCGCCATTCCAAGGGGATGAAACCTTCAGGAGGAAGATGAGGGAGACCGGTCCCATCCCGGGAACCCCCGGCAGTCCCCCCCGCCTCCCCCGCCTCCCCCCCCCCCCGCCCCCCGTTCGAATGCTTAAAAGCACTTTGCAGTCAATTAACGCCCCGCAGAAAGGAACCACCCGCGACGGGACGGGCACATCGCCCGCATGTACCGGGCCCTACCGGGGGGGGGGGGGGGGCTGGGCCCCCGCCCCCGTTTCCCCGGCCACAAGCGCTTCCCAA